GAATTTTGACACCTTTTTGTAAAATGTCTTTTGAAACTTTGTAATCTGTTTTTGAAACGCATTCTTTATTGATCAAATAATCTTGAAATTTTGAAATACATAAAACTATAGATAAAATTTCTTTTTTTATGGTAGAATAAATCTTGGAGAACTTACAAAAATACCCATAAAATTAAGGGTCTTTTGAAAAATCATATGAAACATATTTTGGAAGTAAAAAAAACTGTGTAAAATTAATTGTCACTTTTTTTAATAGAAAAAGTGACAATAAAAAAAAAGTGACACTGAAAAAAGTGACCCACTGTCACTTTTTAAAGTTAAGTGTCACTTTTTTTATTAAAAAATGACATACAATGTCACTTCAATTTTAAAAAATGATGTTTGTCACTCAAAAAAGTGATAAAAACTTTCAAAGAATTGACAAAAAAGTAACAAACATTAAAAAAATGATAAAAATTTAATAGAAAGTGACGAACACTAAAAAAAAAGTGACAAATTTAAAAAAGTGACAAATTGACAACTTTCATGTTGGTGTAACACAATTGAGTTATTATTTGCCCGGTTGAGGCATGACGGCATATCTTGTCACTTTTCTAAAGTCCAAGTTAAACATCTCCGTAACACTTCCAAAACATCCAACTTTCTTCATGAACCTCAGCAGATTTATTGGTGAAAATAATATAAAAAAGTGATATAAACTAAAAAAAATTGTCTTTCTTTACTTCCAATACAGAATCCATTCCTTTCTCGTATTTGAACACTGCAAAGAACAAACATTATCAAAACAAAACAAAAATTATAAAAAAAAAAAAAATCGCAGAAACACAGATTCAACATGTACAAAGGGTATCATAACTTGAAATCTCAATCTTTGAGCCCAGTGACTGTAACTCTCTTTAAGGTTTATTACCCAACCATCTTTGCCTCCTACATTCAATTGATAACCATACGAGGAACACGTAAATCAGACGAAGATTATTAGAAAAAGGGAACTGTATATTTGTGCAGCCATGGAGAAAAGATCGAGTAG